TATTTTCATCATCATCTCTCATTCTCTCTCTCAAATGCAACATCTCTTACCTTGTCTTTTCTTTCTAAACTCACTAAATTTGGTGTCTTTTTTTTTTTTTTTCATTATTTACTCTTTCATTATTCTTTCTTATTTTCTGTTATTTTTTTGAGGAAAATTATCAGAAATATATTTTAATTTTCGCCTAATTGGAAAAAAGCTTTCAACTTTTATAAACTTTGTCCACATCTTTTTTCCTAATTTTAACTTTTTTTTTTACCAAAATAGTTTTCAAGGTATTTGTATTATCGTAATGACTATCACATTATATTACTTAAAGTACCGTAATGGTAGAATGTTCACGGTAATACAACTATTGTAAAGGTTATTTTAATAAAAAAATATCAAAATTGTGATCGTAATGACTATCACATTATATTACTTAAACCCTCAATTTTCCGTGAAGGCTATTTCTGATAATTTTCCTTTCTGTTATGCTATGTTTTCTTTATAATTATTATTTTTATCCCAAAATTTCATTTATATCGATAACTCTATATAGGTCATATGCATATATATATACACATGGCTCACAAACTAGAAACAGGCGAGTACCTAGAGTGAGTGGACACGCTGGCTCCGAGTTCATGAAAAATCCCAAAAAAATTATGAAAATAAAGAAAAAGCATAAAAATATAAAAGGAAAAAGATAAGATATTTATGACATCCCATATACAAACCCTATAATACATGCTATTATTCAACTTCGGAAGTAGTTGATTTAGAGCTAGGGGTATTTCAAAATTACAAATCTCATAGATCCAATGTGTTGAGATTCTTTTCTTGAATATATGATTTGGATTTGAAGGATAGAAAAATATGGCTGTTGGACCCGAATTTGTGTGAATTTTACAAAGAGGATTGTACCTGAGTTGGGTGTTCAAAATATCTTAGAAAGTATGGTAAGTGAAGTAAAGGATTTAGAAAAGATCCATTCACATGTTGCTATTTTGACCTAATTTCTTTTGTTATTTAAATACAAGGCTGGTTTCTACTAGTAGAAGAAATAGTTTTATAATTGTAATCAACAAATTTTGTATAGCATTTTATAATTGTACTCAACAAATTTTGGATATTTATATATTATTGTTTTGTATATAGAGCAACTTTTGTTAAGGCTACTTTTTGTCATTAAGAGGAGTGTGACATCATCTACATAGAGTGTGACATTACCTACATGGAGCATTTTAATGTGCTCCATGTGGATGATGTCATAACCTCTGTGGATGATGTCACATCCTTCTAAATGACTAAAAAAAGATCTTGTATACTATAAAACTATTTACTTTGGATATAAGGAGGTCACAGTTATTTGCAATCATTCAATATAAAATATGATCGTTTGGATTTGTCACAAAGTTCGAGAGAAATTTCTTTTGAATTTTGAACTTGATCAATGGAATAAATACGACCATCCAATTTCACATCCAATGGTCTGGATTAATTGTGACCATCTTGTTCTAAATGTAAATGGTCTCATTGTATATATTGCCCTAAAAAAAATATAGAAAAGTATACAATGAGACTATGTATCTTTGATACAAGATGGTCACAATTAATCTTGACCATTGAATGTGAAATTGTGTGGCTACATTTATTGTATCGCCCAAGCTCAAAGTTCAAAAGAAATTTTTTCAAATTTTGTGATACATTCAAGCTATCAGATTTCACATCAGATGGTTACAAGTAATTATGACCTCTTTACATAAGAGGTAATTGGTCTCAATCTATACAATCCTAAAAAATATTGTATTAAAAAACAAAGGTTAATGAGTATCCAAAATTTGTTTAATATACTTATAAAATGCTCTATAGTGTGAGCATCCTAACAAAAGGGTGGCAATGGACCCGAACCTGATGCAGGACCTGTTGGGTATACTTGATAAGGGTCTAGGTATGAGACCAACATTTGGACCCCGTAGTTGGTTTTGGGTCCAAAACCTGGACCAAAACACTCTTCGGGTCTGGGTCCGAGTCCGGTTCTGGTTGGATCCAACCCATACCCAACCCGCACCCATTAATTGTTAGAGACAAAATTATTCAAGCCCTATTTGTTTGGGTGTATTAATGTACAATAAGAACTCGTAGTCATTTTTAGTTGTTGCACGACAAATCAGATGGCTTGAAATCTAATGGTGGACGATTGTGACTCTGTTGCCAATAAAATGAGCATATGATGGTAAAACAAAAAGCACAAAAAAAAGAGAAGAAGCTCGTAGTGAAGGTGGCAATGGACTTGGTTAAACCCGAGACCTGACGGGATATACCTGGGACCCAACGTGATAGATACTGGACTTAACAGGTACAGGTAGGAGTCCAACTTTTGGACCTGACAGATTAAGTCCGAATCTTAAACCTAGACCTGAATGCTATTCGGGTCTGGATCCGAGTCCAATTAGACCCGACCCGTTGCCACCCTTACCATAACCTAACCCAATTCTAATATATGAGATACTTTTTTGTCTTTGTAAGAAAAAGAAAAAATTTGTATAGAACAAAAGCTTTAAACAATCAAATTAGAGCCCACCTCAAAAATTTCACTAGAAGAGATTGTTTTTTAGCCCAAATATGCTCAAATTGACCATATCAACATGAGAAAAAAATGGATTTCAAATTTCGAAAATAATGCATCTTGAAATGCATTTTTGGACCGTCAATTTTCAAAATTTCATAGACCTATTTTATGCACACTATTTTTGAAGCTTTAAATTTTATAATTATATATAAAAATATATTTTAAAGCTATCACAAAAATATCCGATAGGAAAACCTTATTTCTCGATACTATTTGAAAGTGGGCTTTATTTGGGTTGTTTAGAGCCTTGGCCCTATACAAACTGCACCCTTAAAAAAAAAAAAAAAAAAGTTGTTGATACCTAAGCGACACATGTATTTAGTGTGCACCGGAAAGTCTGACATCTGCACCGTCTGATGTGTCGATTTAATGCAAAAAGTTTCAAATTTAATTTTTATAAGCAATCTACACCATTGGATTACATGCTAACGGCGTAAAATGTAGAGCTCGCCTTGGTGCGGTAAGGCCCCCTTTTACTGTCAGTTACTTTAGGAAGCACTTGCACGTTGCGTGTGTCCATATTGTCCGTAAATTCATGATTCTGGGGTGCGTTGGAGGTTGTCATGTCACCCTACAAAAAATATCTATTAGCTTTACCTGATCCATGGCTTCCCTCTTGTCGTCATTTATTAAGGAGCTAGAGCTTGACACGTTTCATTTCTCTCCTTGTTATCACTCCAATTATTACTCATTAGTTACATCAGATACCACTGTCGAGGACCACATCAATGGTATGTTGTAGTCAATAGCGTCATTTTATATTCAGTACGACCACACCGTATATTTGAAAAAAGGGTTCTATAGAATCTTATGACATCTTTTAATCAATGTGTAGGTAGGTCCCAAGTGTTCTATATTCGTAGACTGATGGAGGATGGGATGGGATACAACTGTTTTTTTGAACAACCAAACCAGTCGAGCTTTCATTTTTCTTCCTTCGGAGTTTGTCGTTATTTATCCTTGATGACGAAATTATTTTTTTACTTTTTTATCCTTTTACTCGCCATTGCAATTGTATTTCAATTAATTGAAGTCGGTTAAATATGTTTTTTTTATCTTTAACATAAATAATTCTCATTTGCTACTTGAAAGCTGAAAAGCTTTTAAAAAAGAAAAAATTTATATAGAGCCGAAGTTCTAAACAATTAAATTAAAGTTAACCTTAAATATTTCATCGAAAAAGACTGTTTTACTGTCTATATATCTTCAAATTGATCATCTCGACATCAAGATACATGGACGAGAAAAAATAAATTTCAAATTTTAAAAATAATATATTTTATATCACATTTTTGAACCATCGAATTGCAAGTTTTCATATAATTATCGATCTACAAAGCTTTAATCTTCATGAATAAAGATGAAAATATATTTTATATAGCCCTCACAAAGATATATTTTAAGTATTGAAACCGTGTTTCTTGACGCTATTTAAAAAGTAGGCTCTGGGCTCTATACAACCGGCACCGTTTCAAAAAAGCAAACACAAACGCATAAATTACATTAAAATATATGTGAGAAATGAAAATTCTTACCGTGTAGACGCAGGAAAGGAGCTCCACGTTCCACCCCACTCTCCAAGCTGTGGATTCCTTGGTGACAAGTGCGATAATGGCTGACTGAATTGAACCCATGAAACACATAATTCCAGTCATGGATAGCTGAGCAGGATATTGCTTCAACACCAATGCCTGCAAAAGCAAATTGAGAGAGAGAGAGTCAGAAACGAAAAAACATTATTTGATTTGTAGAGAGAGAAAAGGAGATACATAACCTGGTAATTTATCCATGCAGACCAGGCTAAAACACTGGCTGAAAGCGACGCAGTCCCAAAGGCCCACTTAGAGTACAGGGAAGCATCAGAAAGCCACAAAAATGAAGTGGGGGATTTACTGATATTTAGCATTTTAATGGCTGAACCCTTTAACAATGTCATGACCATGGCTCCCCCTACACAAAAGCATGTTCCCACTATCTTTGCTTGTCCCCTTCTGCACCGTAAGTCCAAGGCCTCTATTCTGGTTTTCCATCGATGAGAGAGAGAGAGAGTGAGAAAATATTCTGGTTCACAATCAGTGTTTACAAAACCGGCCGGCAGGGTTACCCCGAATCGGCCAATGGCTATGTCCTACTAGTGAGAAAACTAAAAAACAATATTCAAAATTAGGGGTTCACTACGGGACAATTTTGAAAAAAATATAGAAAAATGGGTTGCCTGACTTTTTTTTTTTTTAATTTCTGCTAAAGTCTATACGGCAATTGCTCTAAAAAAAAAAAACCAAAAAATTATATAAATTTCAATAAAAATATGAAATTTGTTTGTATAATGTTTTTTAATAGTTTTCCTATTGGCCATAAATACTTATTTTTTTAATTTTTTTAATTTATTTATAAGATATCCTTAGGAGGATATTTATTTTTCAAAATCCATTTTTCACTTTTTTAATCTTATTTGGATGAATTTATTTAAGGGTGTGGTTTACATAAGGTTGCAACCTTAAACAATCCAATTAAAGCGCACATTCAATTTTAATCATTAACATATAATTTTGATGTAAAATATTCTTAAAATTATCTCAAAATCTATTTTTATATCTAATTATAAAATTTTAAACTCAAAAAATGGTTAAAATTATATGAAAATTTTAAAAATAGATGGTCTAGATAATGTGTTGTAAGATGCATTATTTTTTAGACTCAAAATCTTTTTTTCTTTCATAATCATATATCTCGAAGTCGAGATGCTCAATTAAAGGGGTTTTGAACATTAAAATAATATTTTTCAATAGATTTTTGAGGTGCATCCGTAGTTCTACATTTTAAGGTTGCAACTTAATATAAACTTTTTTTTTTATTTAATTATACTTTAATCATACTTTTTCTATTTTTTTTTTGTAACGTTACGGGGGTGCGGTTTTTATAAGGTTAAACAATCCAATTAAGGCACACCTTAAAATTTTATCAAAACATTTTATTTTGTTGTAAAAAATTCTTAGTATTATCTTAAAATCTATTTCCATATCTAATTAAAAAATTTTTAATTTAAAAAATTGTTAAAATTAAGTAAATCTATAGATATATGAAAATCTTGAAAATGGACGGTTTAGATAATGTGTTGTAAGATGCACTATTTTCAGGACTCAAAAAACTTTTTTTTTTCATATTCATACATCTCGATGTCAAGATGATCGATTATAGTATTTTTTTTAACATTAAAACAACATTTTCGATAGAATTTTTAGATGCATATGTGATTCTACATATTAAGGTTGCAACCTTATATAAACTTTTCCATATACCGGTCATTCAAACCCGTTCCAGGTTACCTGACCTGGCCGATGGGTGGGTTCCGTTGCCGGTTCATGCAATTGAGCATTGTTCACAAATTGTCCTAGCTTTGGAACTTTTCTGTCCTCAAAATAGAAAGGGGGGAGAGAGATTGATTTTGTTTTTGTGGGTGATTGGAAGAGGGCAGAGAAAAGAGATACCCGAGAAAGAAGGCCATGACAAAAGTGACGACAGGGATGAGATTCAGAACAGTGGCGGCAAGTGTTGAGGAAGTATAGTAAAGCCCCATGAAATAGCAGTTTTGAGCAACACTTATCCTGCAATTTAACAAACAGTAGAGCATTAATAGATCTGATTCGAAAACTGGAAGTAACCCAATACCAGCAAAGTGGCCTTAGTCTCTTACCCTATCAGTGCAAGTAGGAACATGTGAGCTGCAGTTTTGATGCGCAGGGCAGGCCTTCTCTCCCTGAAATTAGTCCAACATTTTAGTCAACAACAAAAAGGAAAGAGAGAGAGTAAAAATAAGCGAGAGAGAGTACCTCTCCATGAAATAAGCGAAGGGAAAAATGGCAAGTGTTCCAATTATGGTCCTGTAAGTTGTGAAGATGTAAAAATCTAGGCCATGAGAAAATGCAATTTTGGTGAGGAGTTGCATGCCTGCTAAGAAGACTTGTACCATGATTTGAGCAAATATTGGCATATACTCCTCCATTTCTCCCTCCTTCTCGAGCCCCAGTTTGAGGAGGAAGAGAGACTGCCTCCCAACATATTTATAACATCTAAATTACCTTGGTCTAGTTAATTATCATTGAGGAAAAAATAGTTACCATGGGCTATAAAAATATCATGGATTAACTTTATAACACCTAGCATATTTCTAACCTTTAACAAACAAATTTAGAACATGTTTATATAGATAGACATTTGAAAGGCTTCTATAAATAAATAAATAAAAATAAAGCTTATCACAATAAAAACATGTTGTTCTAATCATATTATTCCAACGACATATCATGTTGTAACCAAAGTCTAATCATATTAAAAGACATGTGATTCCATGTAAGTGCCAAAGGCATGCAAAATAAGTAAGAAATTGTGTGATGATGACTTTAGAATGATACAAGTTATTATTAGAAAATCTTTTTGGAACGGTGATGATGTTATTATTAGAAATTTTGTTTGGAATGAGATGATGGTAACTTAAATTCTACATTTCAGTGGAATTTTGTGATAAAAAGGAGAAGAAATGATACTTTATAGGAAGTGTTGGTAAAATATTGGTAATGCATTTCCCATATTTCTTCCCGACATAGCGAAACAGTAATTATGTATTTCCCAGGTTGCATCTAAATACTACCTAAATAGTAACAATCCATTTACAGGTTAGGAGTCGTTTAGGAACCTGAAAATCTATTACATGAAAGTAGATTAGACATAAATATGATATTTCTATTATTTGGGTACACTTTAATGGTAAAGAAATGGAAAAGATTACCCAAGATTTCTACAAAAATAAGGAAATCTATTTGGCATGCTCAAGGGTGAGAAATCTATAAGGCATGCTCAAGGGTGAGAAATCTATTAGGCATGCTCAAGGGTGAAAAATCTATTACGGGCTTGACGGGTAATCAAGGAAATCTTTGTTCTTGATTTTTTTTACCCAAAAATTCCGTGATTCACCTCTTAAAAAACCAACAAAAAAAATAAAAAATTAAAAAAATAAAAAAAAATATTCAACCACCGGTTAAAAGCTCAAAAATGATCTTCTGCAATCAATAGCTCCTTTTGCAAATGGAATCCCATATATATTTAAACCTCACAAATCATACAACAACCCATCTTTTTCAACTAGCAGCTAAAATCGAGTAGGCCCATGTTCTGCAATCACAGTTGTAGCTATTCTTTATTTTTAGATATACAAGATTTATTTTTTTAGTTATGCAACCAGTAGCTATTGTTACAAAAAAATAAACGAATTTGGGTTCTCTATTAAGATCGATCTGTTTATTTTTTTGACGTTATTTTTTCTTTTTTGCTGCTATTGTTTGCTAATAAATTCTAAATACTTGAGTTCACCCAAAGAGAATCCTCAAATCAGTATGTTCTTTTTTTTTTTTGAACTTTTTTAATTAATTTACATTGTCAATATCCTCCAATGCCCCAACATAATTTCTCCTCCAATACATCTTATTTAGTAATAAAGCCTTCTAGGTTACTAGCCAAATTTCTCCAAACTTTTTTTTTTTCTTTTGAATTTGCCCATTGAATTTTTCTAGAGAGAGATGATCTAAAGGCTTTAGCACAAAAACATAAAAAATATGATGGCTTATCATAATAAAAGTATGTTATTCCAAAGTGTTAACATCTTAAAAACAAGTGATTCCAAGTCAAGACGCAAAGGCATACAAAAGGTGCGGCTGATTCTTATGCCTGATGCAATTATAAAGTTTAAGCTACATACTAATAGGGATTGTACGCACAACCATGTTTTTGGTATACAGCCAAAAAAGGAAAAAAATTGTTGGTAATGTATTTCCCATATTTCTTCGGGACATAGTCAAACAGTATCAATGTGTTTCCCAGGTTGCATCTAAATACTATCCAAACAGTGACAATCCAGGTAGTGTATTATGCCAGTAATATATTTCACATATTATATATTTCTAGGTATCCAAACGGTCCCTTGATATATTACGCCAGTAATATATTTTATAGATAATATATTTCCAGGTATCCAAACAGCCCCTTAGAATATTTGTTGGGGACAGAGGCGACTTTTGAACTTTTTATGGTCACCATCCGCACATTGTTTGGTGGGTGATGCGAACGGAGAATGACTTTTTCAGTCCTATTAGACTATAACTTGGCTTTTGATAAAGGGTGGTTTGTATATTAGTGTCAAAATATGGTGCTTTATATTTAGACATATGTAAAACAATTCGAAAATTTGTTTTGAACTATAATTACAATAAATATTAAAAACAGTGTAGGTTGAGTAGATCTATGCACTTGAAAACTTTTGGAAATAATACATTATAAGATGCACTATTTTCAAGACTTAAAATCTATTTTTTCTCATATCCATAATTCTTGAGATTGAGATGATCGAACAAAAGGTTTTCAGCATCGAAACAACATATTTTAGTGAATTTTTATGGTATACCTCAATTTGATTATTTAGGGCCTCGCCCTAATATAGGGCTGCCAATGGACAGGGCCGGGCCTCGGACTTCCAGGACGGGCCTGTTAATAGGTCGCTAATGGGCTTTGGGCCAGGCCAGGCATGGCAGGTATAGATATAAATAGTGATATGGCACAGGTCGGGTTTTTAACTGGCGGGCCTGGAAAACTCGAAATTTTTCCCATGTGGCCGTGCTGGTCTAGTCAACCTGAAAATGTTCATCTCGGCCCAATAAATGCCCGAGCTATTTAGAATTTTTTTTTTTTTTTTTTTTAAAATCTTCACTTTCATAATTTTCTTGTTTTGAAAATAACGGGACGGGAATAATACATAAACAAAACAAATAATAAAAAAAAGGTGAAATCTAAATAAAGGAAGGCACCAATGTACGTATCATTTTTTTATTGATTCTATTATCTATCTTCTCTCTAAATAAAGAAAGGCACCAATGCCCTTATCTCTTTTTTTATTGCCACCTATTATCTCTCTCTAAATAAAAAAAAAGGCACCAATGTATTTATCTATTTCTTTATTGACTCATATTATATCTCTCAAAATAAAGAAAGGCACCGGTGCACTTATCCATTTTTTTTTATTAACTCTTATTCTTTCTGTCTCTCTAAATAAAGAAAATGATATCTTGGACAAGGAAAGCCCAGCCCATCTACCTTTTTCTTCTTCTTCTTCTTCGTTTTTGTTTTTGTTTTTTTTTTAAAATAATCTTCACTCTTCATATTTTTTTTTTTTGAGAATCAAGGGACAAGAATAATACATAAATAAGAAAGAAAAATTAAAAAAAATGGGCCAATCTAAATAAAGAAAGGCATCGGTGCACTGATCCCTTTCTTTATTCACTCTTATTATCTCTCTCTAAATAAAGAAATAAACTAGTCCACTTATCCATTTTTTTATTCAGTTTATTGACTCTTATTATCTATCTTTTTTAACATAATGAACTTGGTAAATAATCGCTCTCATTTTCTTTCTCTTCCCCAATATATCGTATGAAAATTACGTAGAAATCTGTTATAGTTTACGTTATTACGATTACACCAAATAGTTTCCGTTATTACACAACTGTCCGTTTTTTATCTTCCATAATGCTATTTTTTAAAAAAGACAACTTTGCCTATTTTCGGATGTTCAACATCCGAATTTCTGATATTTTCGGATGTTGAATATCCGAATTTAGCCGCAGGTCAAACGATGCTTTTTCCCATTTTCGGATGTTCAACATTGGAAAATATCAGAAATTCGGTTGTTGAATATCCGAAAATGACTGATAGTTGAACAAAAAAAAAACCTCGCTACTGTTAGCAAGGTTTTCCGAAAAACCCTAGCTGCACATCCGAAAACCCTCGCTGCTATTGTAAACCTCGCATCATCTTCAAAATCCACCGTCGCTACTGTTTCGAAGTCTTCAACCTCCTTCATCTTATCAACAAGGTAAGGTTTTTTATTTTTTTGCTCGTTTTTCATTATTACTTTTTATTTCAAATTAATCATTGTGATCTACTCTGCATCTAATGTTCCTAATGATTCTATGCATCTAATGGTCCAAAAATACATAAGTATAGAAGTTACATTTTCGTGGTTTTAATTTTACTATTGGTTTTTTTATTTTTTTCTAGGTTTTGTTGTGTATATGATGAATCCCTAAATATATATTGGTATAGAAGTTACATTTTGGTAGTTTTATTTTGACTATTCTCTGCATCATTTTGGCGGTTTTATTTTTACTATTGGTATTTTATTTTTTACTAGGATACATCCCTAAAAATACGTTAGTATAGAAATGACTCAATTTATTACTGTTGGGAGTGAATTTCTTACTCAATCCCTAAAAATACATCAGTATAGATGTTACTCAGTAAATGATGCATCCCTAAAAATACGTCAGTATAGAAGTTATTTAGTATATGATGCATCCCTAAAAATACATCAGTTTGACTATTCTCTACATCATTTTTAATGTTGGGTGTGAATTTCTTAATTGTTTATTCACTTTTTTTATATAATATTGATCTCTTTTAGTTGCATTTGATCAATTTATCAATTATATCAATTTTATGAAATCTATGGTTGCCCAATTAGTGAATATTTGTGTTGGTGAAATTTGTGTGTTTTTTTTAATGCTTATTGTTCTTCTTTTGAAATTTGTGTCTTCTATTGAATGCTTATTGCTCCTCTTTTGAATATATGAAATTGAACGGTTAAAAATGGTTAACTTGGTACATGCAATTTGTAGTGTTAGAAATATGTATTAATCCATATTCTGAGTGATAATTTACCAATGGGTGGTTGTTTTTGGGTGGTCGGATATAATGAATTTTGGATAGAACAAATATTTAATTACCAGTAATTAGAAAACCGCTGGGCCAACTAAAAATTTTCCCAAGTTGACCTGGACCAACTAGAGACTTTAGTTCAATTTCAAGAAACAATCAGTTTTTCTGTTTAATAATAGCATGTCATTATTGTTTGTTCATTTGTTATCCAATAAATTTATGTATATATAACCTTATGATTAACAAGGTGACCATATGGGATTTCAGTGAATATGAATCGTTTACATCCCGATG